TACTGCTTTGTGTATTAGGTGAAGTAAACAGTCGATAGAATTATTTCATTTTCATTACAGAGAGAAATGGTGAGAATTTTTATATGCATTCTAATTTTTTTTTAAACTAAACTCTGTTTCCTTAAATTTCAAATCATCTAGTTGAATGTCTAAATTATCAGAAATTACATCTTTGTTCACTCTGGCAACAGTAGACTCAGGACCAGGAATTTAAATACAGCAAACCTCCCTTAGAGAGACCACCTGTCATAAGAGAATACTTGCAGAAGCCAGGGAACACCACCGCTCTCTTGTGTGCAAACCATCTCTTGCAGGTGACCACTTTTGCTAACTCCCATGAGTGGTTGCTCTTGGCAGGTTTTACTGTATTCACTTGGTGTATAGGAATATGTACACTCTCTTTCATTTTTCTATTCCATTTGATACCATTCTTACAGAACAGAGTGCAGTCTAATATAAGGAGTTCAAAGATAGTATGTTAAAGGATAGCTTGTCTTGACATCTATAGTTTATGTCCACACGATAATTCACATTCATGAGACTGAAGACCCATCAGGGTATGGAGGTTTTATTGGGAGAATTTTTAGTATACACAGTTACTTATTTGAAATATAGGGCTTGATCCTTTGGTAGAACCAAGGTATGCACTCTCTCAATATTGGGGGCAGACAGGGGCTAGTTTGGCCCATGGGTATATTAGAGCAGGCTTGGGATTGTTCTCAACAATGCTGTTTGCAGTGGCTCCTTAAGAACCATTGTGCTAGCTATGGATCAACAGATCATCTTGAACTGCAGCTGTGCTCCATCTCACCCCCAGCATTCCCCAACTGATGGTGGACAGAGGTAATGATTTTGAGGTAGCTACACTACTTCAATGCCAATTGGGCATTATCCCATTTTTAATAACCCCCAACTTCTCTGTGTAAGGAAGGTTCTGGTCCTTTGTGACAAGTGAGGCGTACAAATGAGCTGTTCAGCGTGGGCCAAAAATCTGGCCTGACATCTTATAAGTCTCCATCAAAGAGAAGCTCCATACATTGGTTAAAAAAAAAAAGGCAGATTAAACTGCAATTCTGAGTCTATTAAGACTGGTATTTACAAGGCTTTTAAAGTGGCATAAAATACTTCATCAACTGTTCTTTTACCTGTGCCAAGGAACAGCCAATTTGATTTTCTACTTATTTCAAATTACTCTAATCAAGACTTCTATTTCCTGCAAATATACTAGGAATACCGGTTTATCTAATTTTGTGATCTTCCTAAACCTTGTTAATGTTTTCGATAAGCTCACTTATTGCTCTATTATTTTATTTTGTACTTTTATTCTGGAAGAGAAAAGCAATTGTATTTTTTTTAGACATTTACTGTTAATATTAATTATTTTTTAAAAAATTCCTGTTAATTTGGTTTGCTGGAAAACATTCATTACTATTATCCAAACTTTTAATTAGATCTTTCAGATGTGTGCTTTTAATTAACTGATGACATTTTCTTTGTTCAATTATTGTAGTTCAATACAACTGTCATAAACTTATAAATGTTAATTAAAGCTGCCCCAACTCTAGTTATATAATGTCCACATAGGAATTTGCCGAAAGGCTTAACTGTAAGTAAACCAACAATGAATAAATCCATGAACTGCCAGTGGGATTTGTTTAACAAATTAACGTTTGTGTGCAGATGAGGTTCTACAACATATAATACTCAACAAAAATTTAACACAATAATGTTTTTAAAAAATGAATAACACTCTGCAATTGACTTAATCGGTTATCAAATTATTATTATTAATTTGGTGGTAAAAGAGAACAGAATTTATATGCACACATTGGAAAAGCATTTCCTTATCCGGACTCATTTTATTTATAGTATCAGAATATCAAGGAGGAATTTGTATTTATTTATTTAGGATACACTTGGGTTACTATCTGAGCCCAACTCCAATAATGCTGAAACTATTTTGAGTCTGAAATAGATTTTTAGGGCCTGATTCTCCATTATGCTAAGACCTATTTACACCTGTCTGGAAATGTAAAGGTGATTTAAAATGCATGTAAGTTACATTTCTGCCCACTTTGAAACCCCTTTATTGAGCAGTGTAATGGTGAATCTATTCAAAGCCACCGTATATACTATCCAAGGAAAAACTATTGCACTTAGAAGTATTCACTTCTAAATATATATATTTTAAATCTTAAAGGACACATATAGTGTAAACTAACACACATTAGAGTACTACAGTATGTCCTTAATCACATCCTGATATATCATAACATGACAATATATCTTAATTATGGGTAAGAGTTATATTACCATGCTGAGCTACTGTTGATAGTCTAACTAGGGAATGTAGTTTGTAAAAGAGGGCGTGTGACAATTAGAACAAAGAGGAGTCCTTGTGGCTCCTTAGAGGACCATAGAGACTAACAAATTTATCTGGGCACAAGCTTTCATGGGCTAAAACCCACTTCATCAGATGCATGGAGTGGAACATACATTAGGGAGGTATAAATACACAGCATATGAAAAGATGGGAGTTTCCTTACCAAGTTGGGGGTCAGTGCTAACGAGCCAATTCAATTAAGGTGGAAGTGGGCTATTCTCAACAGTTGACAAGAAGGATTGGAAATCACTTTTGTGGTGCTAATGAGGCCAATGTAAACAAGGTGGCCCATTTCAAACAGCTGACAAGAAGGTGTGAGTGTCAGCAGGGGGAAATTAGTTTTTGTAGTGACCCATCCACTCCCAGTCTTTATTCAGGCCTAATTTGATGGTGTCCAGTTTGCAAATTAATTCCAGTTCTGCAGTTTCTTGTTGGAGTCTGTTTTTGAATTTTTTGTTGTTGAAGAATTCCCACTTTTAAATCTGTTATTGAGTGTCCAGGGAAATTGAAGTGTTCTCCTACTGGTTTTTGAATGTTATAATTCCTGATGTCAGTCTGATACAGACTAACATGGCTACCACTCTGAAACATGACAATTAAAACTCAGCAGGGATGCTGCTTTGTTTTTTAACTGTAATATGACACACCTTACATTTACTGTAAAGTGAATTAGCTGCAAGTGTATTTGAATTCCCTCTGCTTTTCCCCATCTTGGGAGGGGTAGGGACAGTAGTATAGTCAGGTCCAGTAGAGGAAAGGCCAATTTCCATGTGGGGGAGAGGAAAGAGCTTATTTCTAAACATAGTGGACCTCAGCACCGCCTTGCATCTCAAATTGTATGTGGGAGTGTGCCTCCTCTGCCTCTCATTGAGAGGGAGGGAGGATTAGGGGAGCTGACTGGGTCTCATTAATTCTCAATTTCAAGCCCCTGAGGGCGGGAGGGAGACTCTAAGCAAACTGCAGAAATGCCTGGTAGAAGAGACTACAGGATTGTTTCTGGCAGCACTGCAGCTACAGCCAAGTCCACCCCCCTGGCCCGAGGAGAGGCAGGGCAGAAGCAGTAAACAGAGCAGAGTCTATTTGCTCCCCCATCCTGGTCCCCAGCCGAGAGTCAGAGGCCAGGCAGCAGTGAAGGTAGTAACAGCAGAGGCTACCCTTCAAGCAAAAGGTAGGAGATGGGACACAGCAGCTGGGGATGAGCTAAGCCCCTAAGCAGGACACTGGAGGCAATCAGCAGGCATCAGACACTACATTGGGGTAGCTGTAGATGTGCTCCCCACAAACATATAGGAGGAATTGGCTGATAACTACCACCTTTCCATTGCTAAAATGTTGGGGAACTTCCCTGTCTCGGGTATTCCTTCTCAGGAGGAGGGCTACTATGGGTGAAGGAATAAGGTGGATACGGAATCTAGAAGCCTGCCCATAAGCTAGGGTGGCAGATGGCCAAAAAAGGGTGCCAGGGAGTGAGGAAACACCTCCAATAGCAGAGGACAGTGCACTCAAGCTAACAGAGGTTTCATCAGAAAAAGAGAGGTTATGCCCCATACCCAACAGATATCAGGCATCCCATCCACCTCTCTCTACAGGGAAAACCACACGGGACAAAGGTGCTTTTTAAAACTGAGATGCCAGGAGACACTTTACAGGAACAGATTGGTACCCACTGGTCAAAGTCTGTTAAAGAAAATGTTTGGAAAGAAGACTATGTGAATGTATTCACTTGTCTGTCCATGAAAATTGAGTGGCAGATATGGGAGTGGTGAAAAAGAAAGAAGGGCACAAATCCAGCAAGCCCGAGGTGGCTAGGAAACTAGAGAATTTTTAGAATTAGCTGCAGTAAACACACACACACACACACACTCACACTCACACACACACAGAAATAAACATGTTAAATGAACCCAAAATGAAGTGTCACCTTTTTCAAATATTTAGAAGTTATATCATGGACACATGCCACACATGGTGATGAGACATGATTAAGCGATGAAGAGGAGTTTAGACTTACAGCTGCAGAAGAGCCAATCTTGCCCTGGGGTCAGAAGGAGGAAGACTTGTGGCTTAAACGCACAACTCCATACCATCCTGCCCAGCATGTTATACAAAGAGCAGGTTACCTGTACCAAAGCTGCAGGCTTTGGATATTGTCTCAAATGTTTGTTTCACATTTAATAAAGGGACGTGTTTTCATTCCTATTGCCGAGAGAAGCATTGGTGTAAAAGAATGTAGAGGTCAGTATGATGATGATCTGCTATGGGGTAGAGGAAAAGCCCCATCTTGTGGAAAGCGGGGTGGTCATCAAGTGCCCAGCACTCTGATGAGAGCAGCAGGAGAAAGCAGCGATCATGGAAAAAGCCCTATCTCCAATTAAAAGACCCTATTATGGCATTATCCTAACAAGACAGACAGGGTTTATATAATCTAAAAGATTTGTAGTAGGTTTTCAAAACCAAGTTGAGGAGGAGAGGCTTTATGTGTGGACAGAAATTTTAAAATCCATAAAGATTACAACAAATAGTTCAAGGAAAAGGGGGGGGGGGCATGTAAATGTATAGAATAAATCCAAACATTTCAGTCAAGATAAAAGTATAGAAGCTGCATGCAAATATTTACCAAGAGCAGAGGCTACACACGTTCCTCCATTTTGACAGTAATTGTAACAGTGGTTGGTTTCACATCTTTCTCCAGAATAGCTTGGCCAACAGTGACATCTTAAATCACCCTTCTCATTCATAATGCATCTTCCTCCATTTTCACAAGTCAGTTTACATGTATCCTCTGTAGTAAAAATTCACAAAGGTTACTGGGCTTTTCAAAAATTCTATTTCAAATAATCAGAGAAAATGATTACTCATTTGAATACTTCTTCCACTGTAAGGGCTACAGAATCAGAATTTAGTTTCCATCTGGGGGACTTGGGAAAACTATACTTTCCTATCTCATCTGGCTTGCCCTCATGCACCCTCTTCCCCATCCCTCTTAACTCTTTCCCTTCTATGTCCTCTCTGCCTTTGTCTTTTTGTTCAGCTAATAGCTGCCTAACTCACCCCCACCCAAAGGATTTAAAAACAAACCAATCAACCATCTAGCCAGGGTAGTCAATAGGCAGACTGCGGGCCAAATATGGACCACCACACACTTTTGAACGGGCCATAAAATCTTTTTATTTACTTATTATTAATTATATTATTATTATTTTAGTGTTATTTTCTCTGGAGTCTGGACTTTGACTATACCTTTAACAAGAAATGTGGACCTTAACAATAAAATAATTTATTACCCCTACCCTATTCCATCCTTTCTCACAGCCTCCCCCCCACACCTCCAACATGCGGAACTCACATGTTTAGAGACAATCACTTTACATTTGCAAACATCGGTCTCTTCATATGTATATTCATTTCCCTTACTCTTTGTCTCGTCTATTTAAATTGTAACCTTTTTTGGGGAAGGGCCTGCCTACTTCTCTGTTTGTACAGTCTGTAGCCCATTCTCACTAGGCCCTAGGCCAGGGGTCGGCACGTAAGCACCCTGGCGGGCCGGGCCAGTTTTATTTACCTGCTGACGCAGCAGGTTCGGCCGATCGCGGCCCCCACTGGCCGCGGTTCGCCGTCCCGGGCCAATGGGGGCGGCGAGAAGCGGCACGGGCGAGCGATGTGCTGGCCGCGGCTTCTCGCCGCCCCCATTGGCCCAGGACGGCGAACCGCGGCCAGTGGGGGCCGCGATCGGCTGAACCTGCCGCGTCAGCAGGTAAATAAAACTGGCCCGGCCCACCAGGGTGCTTACCCTGGCGAGCCGCGTGCCAAACGTTGCCGACCCCTGCCCTAGGCACTACTTTAACATAAATAATAATATTCTTGAAGCCAAACTCAGCTGAGGTATAACCCTACTGTCTTCCATTATAGTGGTGCCTACTTTGGTAACAGCATCAGAACATAGCAAGAAATTAATATATTTATGTCTGTTTCAATGCACAAACCATTCAATGACATCAAGAAGAAATCAATTGTAGAATATCATGTATACAATACTGAAAAGTTCAAATAATTATAATAGTTAGGTTGCGTAAATATCCACACAGCTTTCAAATCCAGTTTGGCCTATCTTTCCATTGCTTACAAAATGGATCATGTGAAGTTGGACTAATTAAAATGTCTGTCTATTCCTGCCTTCTAATCTTGGTCTACAATTGCAGAAGTGTCCATTTTAAGAAAAATGATATCACAAAGCTCCAGGAAGAATTCAGTATTATGTCCACCAGAAATATAGATGTTTCCCAAGATTAGCGTTTTGGAGCTAAAACAATATATAACAAAGGTTTCTGTTTCTTCTAGATTACTCTAGGATTGGATGATCTGAATGGATTAAGATAGACACCCTTTGATATATCCTTTTATACAGTTCAAAGTGTATTTCTTTGTTCATACTGAGATTCACATGCATGAAAATTTCCACAAAAATAGCACTAATTTATTGGATCAAATATAGAACTCAGTTAAACTTTTGCAATCTCACTGGTTTGCACATGTATAATAATTAAGGGGAGAAATTGAACAATTGTGTGTTTTGAAAAAATAGAGGAAAAGAAAATATTTTCCTTTATTTTGGTTATAGCTGATGTTACTAGAAATAGAGCAATTATTAAAATAATTCTATGATGCTGGAATGAATTGGTCCCCATAGAAACACACAAAAATATAAAAATCCAATATTTTGTATTATAAAAGCATAATTAAATATTCTTTATCAATTTTTTTCTTTATAAAATAAGTTAGTTCAAGAATGTTAATATAATTTTTATATGAAATAATTATTAACCAGCAAAGCTACAACAATAATTTTGGATTTTACTAATTTAGAAATATTAAAAGTAGGGTTTCAAGATGGAACAGAGTGGCAAAGTTCAACAACCCCATGTAGGAATGTAGGACTTTTAAAATAAGTAGCCTTGATGTTAGAGGCTAGAAACGTATGTCAAGATGCAAAATTATTTCCTGACTCAGATCAGGTGAATCCTATCAACTGCAATCAGGATATAAAAGAGCCTGACAATGTTTCTGAGGTGGTAGGAAATGAAGGCATGAACAGAGGGATTATGTTGGGGGGAAAAACCTGGAATAGAGAAGCTCAGAAGAAAGTTTATGCTAAGGTTTACATTCTATTATTTAAATTAATGACAAAAGACAAATCACTTGATGCAGATAAATTAGGAACATAATTAATGTGTTTACTATTTGGAGCACAGAGTAAGAATCAACCTGCTTATGCAAGGATTCCAAACTCTGGAAGCTTTTTTTGGTGAAAAATGCAAATATGGTGACACTGAAACATTTCAGGAATTTGTGCAGATTTTGCCAAACTGTTTCAGTTGGAAAAAACTAAAAATAATAAGATATTTCAATTTTTCAATTCAAACTTTTTATTTTGAAATTTCCTTTAATTTTATTTTAAAAATTAAACATTATAAATGCTCAGAGTCTAAAAACAAGTTGCACTTCAGGCTGAACGAGATGTTTCATTTGGTATGAATTTTTTTCTTTCACTTTTTTGGAAAAAAAAAAAGTGTTTTCAGTGTGACCCAAAACAAGCTTTTCAATTTTATGATACTGCCAGGAAACCCAAAACTCCATTATTTGCACATTCTTCTAACTGTGAACTATTGATATAGATATAAATATACATTACTGTGTGTCCTATCTCTTCCACTCTTCTTTCTCTTCTTAAAGAAAAAAACCCTATGTGTACTACTCCCTAAAAAGAACGGAAATCAAAGACTTAATTGTTTGCAAAAATGTGGGTGGGTCAGATTCAGGAGACATTGAAATAAGGAAATTATGAAGTCATTCACTTTCTATTATTTATCATGATCTTTCTCTCTCTCAATCTGGTACATAATGGGGAAATAGCAAGCCCTGAGATCCTAAAAGAAAGAAAGGTGGAACATAGGGAAAGGTCATCTCAAGGGGAGTAAAAGAAGGATTCTCTCTCTTTTGGCTTCAGTATAATACATAATGAAGTGGTAATGGGTTTTACACACCCAGGCACATAAAATTCTGCTTGTTTTCTCCTTAGAAAAATCAAAATGTCATTTATGGTCTTCCTACTTGATATGGTTCTCTCTCAGTGTAGCCATCAGGAAAAAAAGACAACAGAATATGTTTGTCATTGAGGTCTTTTGATCAGACTACTTTTGAAAAATGCAAGAAATCCCCCCTCCCCCTGGTAAAAGTTATCCTCCTTCAATTCCCAATCAAAACAATTCCTTGGATTAGGGGGGAAAATACACAGATCCATTTCCAGAGGGGTAACAGAGCAACAAAAAGTTATGTGATTCCTAAAAATTACATTGAAAGTTTATGGCAAAACGAGGAGATGGAAGACCCATAACTTTCTCTCTAGACAACAGTACCACACACACAAGGTGCTCTGTATTTAGGATAATTGAGATATCAGCGTAGGAGAGGGGGATTTTTTAAGCACCCAATGACAGAGGAGCACAAGTCCAATTGATTTTCAATAAACCTATTCACTTTTGAATAAAAGCACTGAAATCTACAAAAGAAAAAAGTACTGTAAGTGCAAAGCATTATTAATAGTCACATTTTTCAAATGAAGTAAGTAAAGCACAGACAGATTTAATAGCTTGGATGGAAGGCATTGTTCCCAAATGGGAAGGGACTATGAAGTCAAGAGTCTTGAGTTCTAAGCTTGGTTCTGACACAGTCATCTATAATTATTCTGTAATATCTATTAATGTTGAAAGTAAAAGCTGGGATGCAAACAGATACATAGCTAATTTAGCTATGTAGTGAGTGTACATATTATGTCAGTTGCACATTGAGGACCCAATCCAGCAAAGCATTTAAACTCAAGCTTAGCTTTAGTATGTGAATAGTCACATGCTTAAATTCCTTGCTGGATCAGAATATAGATCTGCTCACGCGCCATTATTAGTTTAGTCAACACTACTCATTCTTTGAACTTAATAATTTAGTGACCTGTCCAACCCAATTATTTAAAATTTAATAAACTCAATCTTTATTAAACCTAAACAAACACACACAAAGAATGTGTACCTCCAAAACACAACAACACAGGTCACCCACTCTTATTCATGCTAGTAGTTCCTGATTCAACTAATACCACTGAAACTAATGCCAGTGCTCATGGAGCACGGTATATTCCAATGTGAGTAAAAGAGTAATAAAATTGAGCCCTATGTTAATACAACATTAGGGTGACACACTTAAACACAAAAGATGTTAGAAAATGCAAAAATAAAGGTTTTCACAGTAACATTATGTACATGGGAGCCCCAATCCTGGTCTGTGTCCTAGCTGTGCTGAGCACAACTTGGGGTGGGAAATGCAAGTTCCTGAGGTAAAGTAGAGTACGTCTCTAAATGATGTGCTCAATGCTGGTTATCCACTGTCTACCCACAACCAGGGATTACTGGATGCAGCGATGCCACAGACACAAGTGTGCTAGGTTCTGTGAGCCGTCTCCATCTCTCTCCACCCGCAGACTTTCTGGATACTTTGCACATCCAGAGAAGCATAAGAAAAACTGAAAGGTGGCCAAGTTCTGGTATAGGATGTATATTTACATTTAAATAGTCTAAGGATCTATAAGTAAGACTGTTCAAAAGAAGCAGAAAAAAAGGGTTGAATGACCAAATTTATTACCTTTTATACAGATAAAATGATTTTGCAAAGTGGATTAGGTAACCTGGCTAGCTGCAGAAACCAAAAGATGAGTGCTTCAAGTCCTCATCCTAA